CCCAGCTGATCCCTCCTCTCCTATTGGAGATGTTTTAAGTGGTCTGAGGCTGCAGCAAGCAGGGATCCTACAGGCCGGGAGCCGCCTAGGTAAGCATCTCGCAAGCAGAGCCTACATGTGGCACCCTAGCCCTTCCCGCACCACAACTTCCTGCCCAATGTCCCCATCCAAACCCTCTATACCCACCCCCTGCCCAAGGTCACAATTCCCTCCCAGACCCTGCACCCCCTACTCTACCCTCACCCCCCACCCCCAGGCCAGAATCCTCTCCTGCACCCACACCCCCTCCTGGATTTTGCGCCTCAGTCCCCTGCTTCAGATCACAACCCCTTCCTTCACCCAAACTCCCTCTGAGACCTCCCACCCCCTTCTTCCCCCAGTCCCCTACTCCAAGCTTTCTTCCGTACCCAACCTCCATACCATCCTGCATACCACCGCCATAGAAGTTCATTCCTTCACCCCTTGCCAAAATCTTGGAGTGGCTCTCCTATTAAAAGTTATTGCCCACCCCTACCTATATGCATAGGCATGCACAGACATATATACATAAAAAGCAAGGCAAAAATGCTGATTTTTCTAAAATAGCATATGAAATCTTTCTTCAAATACTATTATTGTTGCAGTGCCATTGTTTATAAAATGTACTTGAAGAGTCATAGTGCGGAGCTAGGTAGGCGCCCACTATACCCTTCATGAGGGTGCCAGACCCCACACTTCCATTGTCCACACACACACCCCCTTCTACTAAGACCCTGCACCCCTACCCTCAGCCCGCTCCTGCATCATGCCTTCTACCCAGACCCTGCACTCCCACCCCCTCTTGCCACCCATATTGTCGTCATAGGTGGTTGCCTGGTGGTCTATGGAAAGATTTACGTTGAGCGGAGTGAGCCATGGGCCAAAAAGTTTGAGAACCACTGACCTAAACCAGTCTATTAGGAGCATCTTGAATCCTACAGCATATTTTCTCTTCCCCATGGTGTGTTTATTAAAAAGAATCAGCATTTTTGTGATGTAGTGGGGGGTGCTGTCTACTTTCTAACCTTGTGTTTCTGCCTGTCTGTATTGTGTTGTGTGATTCGCAATGACTCGCTCCAAGTTTGTATTGGCCATACGCATATTGGCCATAAGCTACGCTGTGTCTCTGTGAACCAGTAAACCTTGTTCTACCTGCCGGATGAGTCACATCTGCCTGCAGATGGAGGTGCAGGGTCGGGGGCTCCCCATTGCGTCTTCACAGTTCTCCACTGTGAGATCCTTAACAACGCATTGTTATAAATGAATTGTATACGCCCGGCATGTTTCTCAACAGCATGTATCATGTAAGGAGCGTCTGTGTGCCATGTGTGTCACAGTAAGAACTTTACATTTCCATAATTGAACTTCAGCGTCATCAGACTTGAGTTGCATCACAGCAAATCAGACCTAGACGCAAGATGTCACCTAGAAAGGCATGCAACTGAAAAGGGAACTTCCTGCAAATGGGTCATGTGAGTCAGTAATATGTGGCACCAGGTCCTTTCCCTCAGGGCTCTGGAATAAGAAATTATCATTAGCACTTAATAACAATGTATGTAATACTTTCTAAAATGCTTTCAAGATGCAGAACATTGTATTCTAAGCTTCTAATTAGTAATCTAAGTATCTGTGCTTGTGTGTCAGATTCCACATAATGTTTCCCCTTGTTGGTGCATATCAGAGCCTTTTCTTCTGTGAGGTTCGTAAACATTTAAATTAATAGCTTCTCCCCCTGGAAGGAGCAAACACTGGAACACCTCAGGCGCTGGTATCAGAGCCAGTTGTGTTCAGTGTCCTTCACTTCCAATTCCTGACTATATATAGTAAAACTTTCTGGCTATCCAAAACTACTTGGGTGAGGGAGAAATTAGGGATTGTGAGAAGCTTCAAAAGAGCTAATCAGACTGGATGACTGAACACAGATGTCTACTTGCTGCCCAGCACTGTGCTTCATGGGGAGACTGGCTTTCTAAAAACGGCCAAGTGTCTGAATGCACTAAATGGCAATAACTTACTGAAAACAGACATTCATATGAAAGACTTAGGTTGCAGCTGGGCTTGTGGAAATCCTGCGAATCCTTCCTCACTACATCTCGAAAAGATCGGCTCTCGGAAGTTCTGTGGCCTGTGCCATACGGATAAGACGAGGTGATCAAATCTTGGTCCTTTCTGGCAGAGAATCTGGAATCTGAGACTCCTTAGTGAGCTCACGAACCCTTTCCTGGAGAGCAGCAGCATCTACTCTGCTCCTGCATAAAATGGAAGCACAGGGAAATAGACAAGGATCCTCTGTTGCAAGATCTCAGAAGGGCAGTAACAAAGTGACGGAGAGACTAGAACGTGGAAGGAGTTTGATGGCCCAGTGCTTGTGCGTCCAAGTTGGGAACCAAGGTTGAAGCATTGTGTTCTAGGCCAATATGGGCTGGCAGAAACTTCTGCATCTAGCAACCACTGTCTAACCCCAGGGCAGGCACGATACGTCTCGTGGGTCAGATCCAGCCTGCGGACCACCCTGCCAGAACCCTCAGGCACAGAGAAGCTGCTGCTTTAATCAGTTGGCTGCTCCCTGTAGCGCTCTGCTCTGGGGGGCAGCGTCCTGTGATCTCCCCCCAGCCCAATCCTCAGCTCCTATTGGCCAGAAACAAACAGCCAATAGGAACTGACCCCAGCTGATCCCTCCTCTCCTATTGGAGATGTTTTAAGTGGTCTGAGGCTGCAGCAAGCAGGGATCCTACAGGCCGGGAGCCGCCTAGGTAAGCATCTCGCAAGCAGAGCCTACATGTGGCACCCTAGCCCTTCCCGCACCACAACTTCCTGCCCAATGTCCCCATCCAAACCCTCTATACCCACCCCCTGCCCAAGGTCACAATTCCCTCCCAGACCCTGCACCCCCTACTCTACCCTCACCCCCCACCCCCAGGCCAGAATCCTCTCCTGCACCCACACCCCCTCCTGGATTTTGCGCCTCAGTCCCCTGCTTCAGATCACAACCCCTTCCTTCACCCAAACTCCCTCTGAGACCTCCCATCATCTCCTGCACCCTAGTTCCCCTACCCCATGCACCCTTCTGCATCCATCCTATACCCCGCAGTGTGGCCCATGACCATTTGCCAAATGCACCCTTCTGCATCCATCCTACACCCCGCAGTGTGGCCCATGACCATTTGCCAAAATTTTGGAGTGGCCCCCACCAAATGTTATTGCCCATCCCCTATCTAAACCGACTAAAACATCTGAACGAGAATGGCCAGTGTATCCTGGGAAAGGCTTGCTGGTGTCACTAATACTGACACACCCTCCGAGTGGAGATGCAGGATATACTGGCAAAAAGGTGGTTTTGCAGGTGTGTCTTGTACTGCTTCCCCAAGTGAAATAAGCTGTACCGGTGAAAAGGCATTTTATGGTGGTGTAAAAAATAGCAATGGTGTAAAAAAATCACCCCTCAGATTCTACCAGCTGGTGAAAAGGCGTATTATGGTGGTATAAAAAATAGAAATAGTGTAAAAAATCACCCCTCAGATTCTACCAGCCAAGTGTAGACTTGGCCAGTGCGGGAGGGGAAGATTTTGAGGTAACTTTCAGTTAAAAAAAAATCCCTGCTCTGAATTGCTCAAGTTTCACTTGCTTTGTGTCTGTCAAGTCAGAATCCTCCTGGCTCTCCAGTTGTCCATAGGATCTGCTGTGACATGTAAGAGATGCATTTTTCAGGGTTTTTTAAAGCTTATGAAGGCAGGGGGGAAAAGCCATCTTTGAAGGAAAAAATCTTTCCATTATGCCCATAAAAATGCAACCCCTCTTCCATGCGCCTCAGAAATTTCCACCCAGCCTGCCAGGCAGAAAGAAACTAGTTGATCTCTGTTGGAGGGCCAGGCATTCCCGATGTACAGTCTCAGGCTTGGAGGTGGGAAGCGGTAAGTCTTGAGACACACCAGGACAAAAGAAGTGGAAGGAGAAAGTGTGACCCATAATGGGGGGGGTTGCTGTCCAGTAGTTGAAAGCAGCCAGTTGTTATCACCCCTCCAGGGCGGCTGCTTTCTCCACCCCAGTTTGGGAGAAAAGAATTCCAGGGTGGGGAGAGACGGTGATATCAGACCACTCTTCCCAGAGGAAAGCCAAGGGTGCTTCTGTGCCATGTAATCAACTTTGGGAATTCACTGCTCTGTGACACACAGTCTGAGCAGGCTTTTAAGTGACCATAAAATCCTCTAGCATTTATCTTAACCAGCCCAGCTGCAATGCTTTCAGGATGCAGCCTTCCCTTTCAGGATGCAGCCTCTTTGCCTGCGGGGGATTTACCCTGGCCCCTTCTTTATATAGTACAAAACTAATTCCTTCTTTTGGAAGGTGTTTTCTAATACGTGCTAACACTTAAATGGGGACACACCTTTCAACTCCATTGAAATGCATTGGGTTAGGACTCGGGACTTTTGGGGTGCAAGGAAGCAGCATTTGGAGAGAGAGTCATTTGGCATCTGTTTTTATTTTCGTTTTCTACTAACCGCTGAAGCAATATGTACTGGCTGGCACCAGAGGCAGAATTAGATTAGACCAGTGGTGTCCAACACGCTAGCTATTGGCCACATGTGGCTATTTGGCCGGTTGAATGTGGCTAGTTGGTTTGAATAATGGGGCTAGTGCGCTATCGCAGTAGCAGAGGCTACTGCTTCAGAGCTGGTTGGACACCACGGATTAGACTGCCTAGGCACAGCATTTAGACAAACCAGGAAAATGCTGTTCCAGCTGGCCTAGATCTCTCTCTGCTTGGGTCTGGGACTTACTGCTCCATCTGAGAACTGGTCTCTTAAGCAGAGCCATACCTCTTTATTAAAGCCTGCTACGCTGCTTAATGTGGAGGGGAAGAAACTAGATTTTCAACTCCTGGTACAAAAGGTTTCCTCCTCCAGTGTGTAAGCTGAGAGGCGTAGGTGTGTCCCGAAGTGTTCTAACAAATGATGCACTAGAGCACGCCCCTGGAACATATGTCCCTGGCCCTCCTACTGCCTTGAGGTCTGCGGGCTTTGAACTCTCAGCTCAGAAGGCAGGCAGAGCTATCCCAGGGAAACATGAGCGAGAGCCTCCAGCAGGCTTCTGATCGCGCCAGGGGGGAGTTTCTAGGGAAGTAGCAGGAGAGGCCATCCAGAGGTGGATTAAAAGGCAAGTGCCCGAAGGAAGGCGACAGCATGGTGGCGCATGATGAAGTTGGAGGTCTCCTGCCCATTAAAAGGACGATTCGAGTCATCGATGCTCAGAATCAATCTTTCCGCGAACAAGAGGTGAGGCTGACGGGTTAGTTTGCCCTTTCTGGCACTATTGTGCGGACACTTTGATCTGCCTGTAAGTTATTGTTAAGACTGAAATAGAAGGCAGACCAGTTTGCATACTACCAGCTGTGTGCGGCGGTTTTGTCTCTTGTCAGCTGTTATAAGTGTGGGTTGTGTTGGAAGACGAATCCTTTTTATGGCAAAACGACTCTGGCATTCGCATAATCAACAGGCTAAGTGCTACTGTGCTAGGCATTGTACCAACACAGCCTTAAAGAGCATACAAAACGCTGATGCCTGCTGAGGCACGTAGTTCTGTACAATCTCATTAGCTAGAGGTAGACTCCCGTCAGTTAAACAGTGGACTTTGGAGCTTGCACTACCTAATACAGATATTTTCTGATGCATGTGGATTAATTTTTAATTTGTATTAGACTTCTGCTTTAATGGCAGTTTTCACAGGACTTCCTTAGCTCTTCAGGTAGCCCAAGGAAGCCGAAAAGAGCATTGAAGGGCTCTGCCAAATTTGTGTTTTATCCTTTCCTCTGCTAGGAAACCTTTTAAATCAGGACTTGTCTTAGTCGCTCTGCTTACTTTGGACTTGATTTTAACTTTGACTTCTAGGAGTTATATAGATAGCTGGCATTGTGCTACAGTAGCAAAAAGAAATCTCTTTGGATTATGATTAAAGACGCACCATTGAGAGTTTTAGATGGTTTTATTTTTGTTAGGAGAAGAAACATTCTTGAATATAAATATTACATCAAATGTCTGTATAAATTTTAGCTAAAAGCTGGCACTGTGTCGTATTTCTTCCTCATCTTTATAGTAAGTGAGAGTATTTTGGAAGTGTTTTTTAATACAAGCAAGGGAACATAAAATTGAGAACTTCTTGCTAGTGTTTCAAGTTTATTTGTTTTTCTGCCAGTGATTGGATACAGTGTTTCTCCTCTGTATCTTGAGAATTAGTTTTATTTTGTTTTTCTTTGAGTGTTTTAAATATTTTATTAATTAAAACATCTTAAATCTGATGGGTAAAACTTTCAAAAGCACTTCAGTGATTTATTAACTTAAGTGATTGAGAATCACCGAAGTCCCTTTTAAAAATGGCTAAATCCCTTAGATACTTTTTGGAAGATTTTATCTTGTGTAAGTGCCTAATCCTGCAACAGTGTATGCCTGTGAGCTACATAGCTCATGTCTGGTATGAGTAAATTTAAATGTGTGCTCCAAGGATCAGTCCCTAAATTGGATTGATTTGTTCCTTCCAAAAGACTTTTTCTAAACCATGCTATCTAATGACTCGCAGATTTTTTTTCTGATAAGGTGTGGACTGTGTCTGTAAACAAGTAAGGTTATTAAAAAAAAAAAAAAAAAAAAAAAAGGGCTGGTGAATCAGTTTGCATTCGACCAGGATTATTGCATACCTTAGGTGTTGACGCAAGGCACAAAGTCCAGTAGAAATGTACTGCCAATGGCCGCGTTTCTCAAACTGTGGATCCCGACCCCCCGGGGGGTCACGAGCAAGTGAGAGGGATCGCGGTATCACAAAGTTTGAGAACCCCTGGCCTACAGTATCATCTTGTTAAAAGATACAACTTATTTAAAAAAAGTCACATCTGCAGTGAAAGTCTGTTTGACACAAAACATTCTGTTGAAGGGTTTTTTTAGTGTCAGCTTATAAAACGTTGCTAATCTTGCTTTCAGCAGAGAAATGTAAATGCAACCTCAACTAAAGGGTCACTTCTGTCATTTCATAATACATAAGACAATCTAGATGCTGGAGAAATGAAATAAATCTAGTAAAAGAAGTTTAAGGAATGACCCTAAACCCTTGTTCTAATAAAAGCAGTTTAAGGAATGACCCTAAACCCTTGTTTGTATTGGTGTTGTAGGATGCTATTAATGTTAAGATGTGTATGGGGCATTTCGTTATTATTTTGGTTTGGGGTGTCAGTCATGAAAAATCAGTGGAGTTTAGTGTTTACGCCAGGGGCTTAGTTACTATCACGAGCCACTGAAGTCCTTTATCTGTAGAACAGGTACAGCAGAGTACTTCCCTTTACTCCAGTAAGGAAGTGAAAAAGTGGCTTAATTTCTGTATCTGTTCAGTACTTGCACTTTGCCGAAAGTTGGTCGCTCTGAGATCTGGACAGCTATCTGCTGAGAACTGGACTGAGATCAAGCAAACTCGTGTCACAAATCTTCAAGTGACTGACTGTCAGATAGCAATTACCTCTCCTCGCTTTGACTGGGTGGGTAGTTGAACTAGTGAGTTCCGTTGCTTTTGAATCTCACTGGTAACATTTGGCAGTAGTTTGTGCTGTGAATATTTTTTCCATTTGTCACCAACTTTTCCCATGTTTGCAGCCCGGGTATGATTTTGTAGGTAGAATATATCACTTCATGACACAATAAATGATCCTTGTAAAAAAAAATAATTACTATGAAGGAAATACACAATGCAGAATTAGCATTTTAATTCCTTGTGCACTTAAAAATAAAAACCACTTTGGACTTAATCAGCTACAAAATGTGGCTTTTTAAAATGTGCCACATTTGTACCTGTGAAGGAAGGGGGGGAAAAAAGTATTGTCTGCCTCTTTGTTTAGCTTCTCAGTGAAATGTGAAAGCATTGCTTTCAACCTGAAATCTTTGCATGCAATGTCTAGCCTAGACGTTTGTTTGTTTAAAAAAAAATCCTTGGAGAAAATGGGTTTCCAAAGGAAGCAGACATGCTGTTAACTGTTGCACCGCTGACACTTACCTAAAACCCAAGAAAATTCAATAAATGATCATCTTTTCTTGAAACTGCTGATTTCTGTAAGTTGAGCTACCAACAGCTGGCCCCAGGAACTGTTTCCAATAACATCCCCCTCATATAAACGCCATTAGTTGCCAACAGCCCTAGGGACTGTTTCCAATAACATCCCCCTCATATAAACGCCATTAGTTTTCATGAAGTTTACTTCAGAGATGAATTTGGCCCAATGTGGAGTTGCAAGTTAAACCCAAAGCTGAAATGAACCTGTGAAAACATGGTAAAATGCACTGTTTATCCTCTGAGGAAGGAAAACCGGTTTTTGCAAAACTATGTGGTGTTATGGTAGATTCTGTTTTGGATGATCTTTCTGAGTCTCTCTATCTTTGACTTACTTGGCAGGGCACATGGTTATCTACAAAGCTTTCTGATTGTGTTAATTCATTACTGGTGGATGGTTTGGACAAAATTCTTTCTTCCCTGCCTTAAAGGAGTCCTTTGGGGCGTACGGCTTTATTCTCTGTTTAAGGAACAGAAGAACTTTGGCTATTTTCACTTCATTCTAGTGCTTGCATGTCTGTTTCTATCAATGTAGCTGTGCTGGAGAGTGGTAATTTATAAATCCATTCAAACAGGGAGCCCCTTTGTACTGTCTTCGCAAATGGAAAGGCATGCCTTCTGCCAGACCTTGTGCATATGCATATGTCACTTCAGTCTTGCACAGATGTGCTGCAAAGGCATTCGCATGTGTGCAGTAGTGCATAGACTGTATCATTGTGTCCCATATCTGGAATGGGCGCTCCTTTGACCCTTCAACAGACTGAGCTGGGGAATATTACACACACTTCCCATTGGAGGCTCTGCGAGCTCTTCCGCTATTCGTTTTCGGAGCTTCGTTCTTCCTCCTCGTTTCATCTGTATTTCTGTTCCTGGGGGGATCTGCATATTGGGCTCATGTCTGTATAACTTCTGCTTATGTTCCTCATGAGTCCTCGGGCCTGTCTTAGCTTCTGTTTCCCTCATTCTGGTACTTGAGTACAGGCTGTAGAATCCATGCCTTTGCTCCCATCTGATCATTCATTACGGTGCCCCCTCTTCCAGCGAGTATGGGCCGACCTTTCTAAACGTTTGATTAATCCCTTTTTTGATGGGTGCTGTGTATTTCGTACTGTGAAATGGGTCCTCCATTGCAAGGAATGGTCACTAGGACATAACCACTATGTTGAGCATAAACAAAATGGATAACCCATTTCCTGCTCATTGTCATTTTTGTTTGCAGCTCTTTCCTGATACCTGTAATGTCTTCATTGTTTTAAGATCATGTGAATGTGGCATGAGCCATCTTGCGCTGAGCTGAAATTCTTTTCGCCCTCTATTGCATGCCTCGGTTCCTTCGAAAAATAAGTGCTGCTTTTTTCCCCCTGCAACTAACGACTTCATTTATACCTTGCCCCAAATCACCTCTTGCTTAATACTGGATATGGAAAGATACAGTTGCTCTTTGTACTGTGGCCTCAGTCTGATCTCCTCTCCCGAGGTTGTTACCCCAGTGTACCGCCACTGCCTTTGGTGGCGCTCGTCTTCACTCCCACTGTGGCAATGGGGGTCTAGATCCTGCCCCATCTGTGCCTTTTCTCCTTCGGTTCTGTCCCTCCCTTCTGCACAGAAGCAAAGAACACGCAGTCCATGGCTTTTCGGTGCAATCCGAGACAGGAAGTGGCTATTGGAGGGGCCCCATCTCTGTCCCTTATGTAATCTTTTCATTCCCCACCTTTTTCCTCTCGCTGCTTCTTACTAAGGAAGAATCCACCATAATGAACCCAGAGTGGCTGATAAGACTTTGATAAAATCAGCTGATTAAGGTAACTGATTATGTGTGTGGTCTAAATCTTCCTTTAAAGAAAACAACAATAGCATCCCAGTCAATTTCAGCAGCGCCATTCACTATAGGTGTGTGACTTGCCATTATTTTTATGTGTACAGAATATTTGCAGTTTTTCTTCTAACATCAAACTTTCATTCCATCCGTGCCTTACGTCCCACTGTGCGTATCTTTCCTCTAGGACAGTGACGCTACACCAGGAATCATATGTTGCAGTTACCCTAGCTTGCTGAAACAAAAGACAGGACGAGGCAGCACTTTAAGGACTAAATACCCTAGCTTGGTTATTTTATTCAAGTAATATCTGGCATTAAGAGCTTCCAGCCTCAGGGAGGTGATGGCTTTCCTTCCAGGGAGGGTTTGCACTGGAACAGAGCTGAATTATCCAAAAGTCATTAAGAGCTTCTAGCCTCAGGGAGGTGATGGCTTTCCATCCAGGGATGGCTTGCACTGGAACAGAGCTGAATTATCCAAAAGAGACTCTGTTCTCTGAACAACTTGTTTGCAGCTGGAGCGCGGGCTTCCTGTTTAAATATTGACAGTGTTGGGTTTGGCTTTGGCTTTTGGCGGGAGGAAGGCTTCAAAACCTGGCGCTTTTCTCTACCCTTGGAACTGGAAATGTGTTTATGCCTTCAACAAGCCTGGGCAGCACGGAGCCGGTAAGGCGAAGCCGACCACAGTCAGTGCAATGTGTTCTTTTTTGTTTGTAACTTACAGGAGCCGAGTAACAAGCGGGTTCGACCTCTAGCTCGCGTCACGTCCTTGGCAAACTTGATCTCCCCCGTACGAAATGGTGCAGTCCGGCGTTTTGGTCAGACCATCCAGGTAAAGCAAATGGAATGGATGCCATAATTTCAAGGCGTTTCTTGGGGAGATGGCCCATACTCAGTGCACAGAGTGGGCTGCAGGTTCCTAAGCCAGCCCTGGCTCCGCGTGAAAAACTGCCTTGAATGCACACGCTAAAGTCCTCCAAGGTGTCTCAACGTAGGTCAAATCGGAGGTGCTCCAGGCATGATTTCTTCTATGCTCCTGAGCCACACCAGCACAGCAGGAGAGGTGGGGAGTTAAAACCGTTGAGTGCTGATTTTATGGCGGTAATATAAAGTATCCATGGAGTGGGGAGTTTAGCAAGGGGGAAGGAATAAACCAGATTAAAAGGAGGGAGTCAACAGCTACACAAATCAGTGCATATTCTAGTCATTAAGGAACAGCAGAGTGTGTGTAGTGCAGCTACACAAGACTGGATTTAGAACCTGAATATAGAGGCATTGAGCCGTGTTGGCATCACCCAGGCAGAAGAGGAAGGCAGAGGGGCTGGGAGTGGGTATGGAAGCCGCCAATGGACATCTGCAATACTGGAAATAAACTTTTTTTGTTTTTTTTTTTTTCTTTTTTCTTCCCCCCCTCCCCTAGTCCTTTGCCCTCCGCAGTGACACCAAATCCCCAGGCTGTTCCCGCAAGTCATGTAGCAGATCTGCTGCTCCAACGCCTCCCAAGAGACGCAACAGTGTCCTGTGGTCAGAGATGTTAGACGTCAACATGAAAGAGTCTCTGAGCACCAAAGAAATTAAACGCCAGGAGGTAGGCTGTCCAGCAGCCGGAAGGAAAGGGGGGGGAGGCGTTGGTTGTCCTGTTTGGGGGAAGAGGGAAGCAGATGAAATGGAGGGAGAAATTGATGTTCGTTAAAGTGATTGTGCTCTGCTATGTGCCCTGGCTTTAAGGAAAAGTCCAGGTATGTTAACTGTCTGAAGATTAAGGGTTCCCTTGCTAAAACGATTAGTTATGCTGAGTGCCTAATTTCTGGTGCCTTGAGGGAGCCTAGTTTTTCAGAAGCCTCTGCTAAGCATGTCCAAAGTGATTAGTCATCTTTGAAAATTTAGGCCCGAGAGATCTTTTCTAGGCCAGATTTCTTCCTCTAAAAGCCCTTGCCAGTGGGTTAAGGGCCAAATGGGGAGGCCTTTCTATGCTTTTTACTTGACCTTCATGTTCTTTTCAAGTAAAAACACTTTGTATGTGCAAGTGGTGAGTTAACAGGTTTCATTTGGCCGTTAGTTTCAAAGCTGTCCCGCACTTTCAAGCCGTGTGCCTTTCTCCGCCCCAAGGGAGAGGGAGGGTTGACTTGGGACGTAGCTGGAGTGCAGGCGGCAGAGCCTGGCTTGGATCAGACTGTGCAGCGACTTTGGTTTGTTATTCACCCTCAACGGTTTTTATCAAGAACTGAACAGAGACAGGGTATAAAGTACGGAACGGAGCAACATGTACCCTTGCAAAGAGCAGCTGGACTCGTTGCCTGCTTGGGGCTTTAAAGTAAAACAATAACTCGTCGCCTTACCCCCCCTCATCCCTTCCTCTCTCTCTCTCTCTCCCCCAGGCGATATATGAGCTGTCCAGGGGCGAACAGGATTTAATTGAGGATCTTAAGCTTGCCAGAAAGGTTCGTAGTTTCCCTCTTTCCTTACGCTCCATGATCCTATCAAAAAGCTTCCTGAGGTCACCTGCATGTGCGCGCACAGAGTGTGGCATTGAACCGGGGATGTGAGCCGGCCTCCAGTCACACTGGGTGGGTGACGTGCTCTGCCATGATCTAGTTCCAGGAACAACCCTTTGGGGTGCTTGGGAACCTTCTTTTGGGGTCCCAGTCCCTGGATATCAAGTCAGCGGGACTGTAGCTTCCATGAGTGCAGGAGCAGGCCTGTGTGGCACATGGGACCTTCCAGCTCTTGATACCTGTCGAGCGACAGCTATTGCCCCAAGCAGACGCTGCACCCCAGTAACGTTCTTTGGGTGGCTCTTGATGCCCTTTGGTGCTCTTCCTTGACAGGCTTATCACGACCCCATGCTGAAGCTGTCCATCATGGCGGAGGAGGAACTCACACACATCTTTGGGGACCTGGATGCCTATATCCCGCTGCACGAAGGTAAGAGCAGCTACTCTGTTTGTTTTCAGTGGAGCGCATCTCTCTTTTCGCACTCACCCCCTACCGCCCCAGGAAACCATTCCTGAGGTGCTCACGGCGGCTCCCTTTTGCTTGTTCGTTTCAGACTTCTTGGCCAGGCTAGGAGAAGCAACGAGGCCTGATGGAACAGTGGAGCAAATTGGGCCCATTCTTGTCAAGTGGGTGAGGACACTTTGGTTATTGACTCTCATTGACGGGCAGGTGTGGAACCGGGATGAGGTTTGAATGTATACGCTACAGAGCAACAAGCTCTTGTTGACTTCAGTTGAATATCTGGGGTGAAATCAGATACTGACTTCAGTGGGGCCAGAATTTGACCTCTGCGTTGACTGAGGTTTGGGGTGTCTGCATTTTCAGGCCCTTTTATAAGAGCAGTGGTTGCCGTTTGTCTCCATTTAACCTCAATCGCCAAAGGATTGGCTGCAGTGTGTGCATCTTCCATTCCCCCCCAAAATTAACTGCCAGTCTGCGATGGAAAATCAAATATTCTGTTGAGAGATAATCAAACTGCATAAGAATGACGTGTGCCTGAAATCTTTAATTTGTCTTGGGGAAAATCAAATATTCTGTGGAGAGATAATCAAACTGCATAAGAATGACGTGTGCCTATAAGTCAGCACTTCTTACAGGGCAGTCTAGCTAACCGCTGCCGCTCTGGTGTTCTTTCAGTTGCCAGGACTCAATGCCTACAAAGGCTATTGCAGTAACCAATTGGCGGCCAAAGCTCTTCTGGATCAGAAGAAGCAAGACCGGAGAGTCCAGGACTTCCTCCAGCGCTGTCTCGAATCCCCCTTCAGCCGCAAGCTCGACCTCTGGAGCTTCCTGGATATTCCTCGCAGTCGGCTAGTGAAATATCCACTGCTCTTAAAAGAAATCCTGAAGCATACTCCGAAAGACCATCCCGACGTCCAGATTTTGGAAGAAGCGGTAAGTAATCTGAAGCTAATCCAGAGCCGTGTAACTGGGGTTATAAGGAAACTCTGAAATCCACAGTTTTTCACAAGAGGCCCCATCCTGCAAAGGGAATGCCAGTGGCGTTCAACAGGTGATTTATCCTGTGATTTACAGGAGCCACGTTGGTTATTACAGAGGCGCTTAAAGCACGGGCAAAGGAAAGCAGAAATCCCCACGCCAGCAAGCTTTTAAACCACTGTGTTTCGTAGATCTCCATAATCCAAGGAGTCCTCTCGGACATCAACCTGAAGAAGGGCGAATCGGAGTGTCAGTATTACATCGACAAGCTGGAGTATCTGGACGAGAAGCAGAAGGACCCTCGAATCGAAGCCAGCAAAGCGCTGCTGTGCCACGGGGAACTGAAAAACAAGAATGGGCAGGTACATTTGGTCCGATGGCCGAGGTCTCCTGAGAATTTGAAAGCTTTCCTCCCCCTCCGTCCCCGCTGCTTGTTAGCCAGGGCAGAGATCCTGAAACCCTTAGCCCAGGTTTGGAGGGTGCTAAGGAACCCAAAAACTATAACAAGAGCGATGTGATGTCGGGCTTTATTCTAATTGTCCGGGAAAGCTGGTTGTGGCCAGTGTTTGTAAGGGCCTTCGGAGGTTGTAAAGTCATTAGCATCAAACTCCCAGAGAAAGCGTGCTCTGCATTTCCCACTCCGCCATAAAGAGTTTCCTGGCTTCACGTTTCCTTTGAACATGCCAGAACCATCCCAGTGATGTCATCTGGCCCCAAGCTCTTCCCAGCAAACGTCTGCACAGAGCTGCTTGCGTGGAAATGAAGTGCCCACGGTCTTCTCTTCTTCCCAGGCTTGTCCGCACCGTTGCGTAGAGCATTACAGAGCACAGCAGGCAGGCCCCAAAAGCACACTCAGGCCCATGGTCTTCTGACAGTCACATCAGGGCCGTTTCTTACTACAGGGTCCTGTAACAGGAAATGTAATGAGGTTCACGTAGGTCAGGCTGCAGAACAGTGTTACCTCCCCCCAGAATGATGTTTTGAGAAGAGCTGGTTTGAATCCAAGACTTAATATTCACACCAGGCCTGTCTGCTTTTTTCCCCCTCCTCAGAAGCTCTACGTGTTCCTCTTCCAAGACATTCTGGTTCTCACTCGGCCAGTCACTCGTAACGAGCGTCACCTGTACCAGGTGTACAGACAGCCGATCCCAGTCCAGGAGCTGGTGCTGGAAGACCTTCAGGACGGCGATGTGAAAATGGGAGGTTCCTTCCGAGGGGCTTTTGGCAATTCCGATAAAGGTACAAAGCGAGCCAATTAGCCCCCATTAGTAACGCGCCCTGGTCAAGCCCCTCAGTACACATGCTTTGAGTTTAGACATGGGGAAGTGTCAGTAATTCTTGTCTGTGCGAAGGCCCACTCAACAGGCAGGAGATGTGACCTGCCTTCGCACCCTTCTAGGTGAACTGTGTCTGAAATGGTGAAATCAAGCATGCCCACTAGCTGCTTTGCGTTGTCCATTCGGAAATCACTTGCTGGTTCCCTGTTGTGTTCCCTTCCTCTGGGGCACCTGGCATTGGCCACTGTCGGCAGACAAGATACTGGGCTAGATGGGTCTTTGGGCTGGCCCAGTCTGGCCATGCTTACGTTCTCCATAACCAGCGCTGTTCCGATGGTTCTGACAATAGTCTCAGTGGATCCCTGGAGGAGCAATTGGCAGAACTGACTTTCTGTTTCTTCTGTTTATCTTTAGCTAAAAATATCTTCCGCGTTCGATTCCAAGACCCTTCCTCCGGCCAGTCTCACACGCTGCAGGCCAACGACATCTTCCACAAGCAACAGTGGTTCAATTGCATCCGAACGGCCATCGCGCCCTTCCAGCGAACAGCTGCTTCCACGGAACTGAAAGAGTTGCCCGAGCTCAGTGAAGAGTCGGAAGAGAACAACCCGTCTGCCTCCAACGTCCAAGTCCCGAGGAGGCAGCCCGCTAGGTCGGGGGTCGTTCACATGGAGCTAGACGAACACCCAACCGAGTGTTGTTCCATTATGGACACAGAGGAAGCCAAGAGCAGGAAAACCCACCGAACACAGTCTGGGCACAAAAGAACAAGAGAGAAATCACTAAGCAAGAAAGGGAAAGAAACATTAGTGTAAAGGAGCCCAGGGATTCACTCGTGGGAGGACTGTTTATTTATAAATAATGTGTACATTTGTTTTCTTGTAACATGGACATGGTGGCATTACTCTGATGAACATAAACGTCTTGTATGTTGTTGAATGGCAGCTACTGGTAATGCAGTTATCACTGTTAATCTGGAGTCTGTTTTTTGAAGAAGCTATGGCAACCTTGATTCAGATTCTTAATGCGAAATAAACAAGGATTCAGAAGTCCTAATGCTTTTGACTCTTATTTAATGGCAGAGTTGAAGGGTAGACTTCCGTTTTCCAAAACAATGTTATGGTACCCTATTTAAAACTGGAAATCCTCAAGTAATCTGTCCTGGCGACCGTGTAAATGCGCCCCCCCCCCTCCCGAGGGCAACTCGGCACATTTTAGGCTATAGATCGTGCATAACTTATGGATCAATGTTGCAAAAGAACTTTAAAATTAGACCTTAAAACCGGAGTAATATTGTATTCTTGCCCTTATGACAGGCATGTTTTTGCAGTGTTTGTTTATTTTAATTCATGCAATGCCAAGTTTGAAAAAACAGACCCCAGATTCGATACCTTTTCCATTTTACCTACTGGAACTCTGCGTCTTTGTTTGCTCGCTGTACATTCCTGGGTTTCATTTACATAACCTGCCAGGTATTGCATTTTTTATATTTTAAAATAGGGTTTTGTAGGACTTTTTGTTTTGTATTTTTAATTATTTTCAGTGTATTGTATTTTGAGACTTTGAACTTGGCATTTCCTTTAAGTTCTTGAGCTTTCGGGTTCAAAAATGTCTGTGTGCATGTGTGTGTGTGTGTTTGTATTTTTGTTTTTTACAATCAATTCACAGCTTTGCAAAATGAAACCAAGCCATAGTGTTTTGAGGCGATGGGAATGAGCGGAGGTAATTATCTTGGTGTAGCATTTTGAGTTGGTTACGAGAAGTCTGGTCAGTAGCTGGTGCGTGCTCTAAACTACTGAAAGAGAACTGTGTGGATAAAAGGTGAAGGCTTTAAGAATGTCGTGGAAGGTTTGGGTGGGGAGAAGCGATGTCAATGGCAAACAGAGAGGAGAAAGTTCACTTTTTGTCAGAATGAAATGTCTTCTGATTGCTGGAATATGACAGCCCGTTCTGGAGGGGATATTGTATGTCGGAAAAGGCTGGAGAAGAGAAGGGATGTGAGGTGATGGCGAGAAGAAATGGAAAATGAGTGAGTATTTATACTTGTAATTACAAGTTTACACATTTTGGTGGCCTTTATAATCCTAGAGATGAGTGAAGGAAGGTTGTTCCTTTCGTTAAAACAGTAACAAAGGCACATCATAATGAGCCTAAAGCATGACGTGAAATTGGCTGTCAAGAGGCTGTAACTCAGCTGTAAAGGGTTATTGTGTGCAAGATGTTGGACTGGCAGTCATGGAACTAGGAAGAGACTGTAAATAGACACAGCCAAATGAGTGGTTCTCTGTAAATGTACTGTACAGTTGCCAGTGCCAAGTACAATTAAATTCCTGACAGCATCTCGGTTGTATTGTGTGTGTTGATGCAAGGGGGGGGAGTGAGTAAATCGTCATAAATATTGGGCCTGGATACTTCTCAAGAAGCAATATTCTTGTTCCAGTACATGTTACTGATTCAACTAACGCACACACAAGCAGTTCCATCCAAACCAGGCCTGCTTGTGTCCAGAAGAGCTCACTCGCTCAAGGGTTCTGCAGAACGAGGTGTTACGAGACGGGATAGAGCACGCGGCTGTAAACACAGACGTCCTTGTCACACACCCGTAACCTGGCCTGTAGCTCCTGGGAGCCATGATCAAAGTCCTCGCTTTGTGAAGGGTAGCGCTGGGTAGGCTCAGAATTCCCCCTGCCCAGGTAGGCCTAACACTTGGCTAGCCACCAGCCTAATTTTCATTGCTTTAGCTCCGAGATCCCAAAAAGGAACCCTTGACAGTGGTAAGCTTCCATGCAGGACTCCTTTGATACCTGTGTATGCAACTTACCTTGCTCTCAGTCATAGGGGGCTGGAGGAGACCTCAGGAGTCAGCGAGTCCAACCCCCTGCCCAAAGCAGGACCAACCCCAACTCCATCATCCCAGCCAGGGCTTGGTCAAGCTGGAGTTAAAAACCTCTAGGGATGGATATTCCACCCCCTCCCTAGGCAACCCATCCCAGTGCTTCCCCACTCTCCTATTAGTTTTTCCTAATAACCAACCTAGACCTCTCCCCCATGGCAACTTGGGACCGTTGCTCCTCATTCTGCCATCTGCCACCACTGAGAACAGCCTCTCTCCATCCTCTTTGGAACCTCCCTTCAGGCGTTGAAGGCTGCTATCAAATTCCCCCCAGCAGTGTTTTTAAGTTCCTCAATTCCTGAAAATACAGATGCAAAACAATCTTTACATGAGGGGTGTCAATGTCCCCAAATACCCCCTCTGAGTTTTTTTTCACCGTGGCTTTTCCCAGAGATTGGAAGGCGCTGGCCATTCTGGGATTGAGCTGTTGTAATACCCTAACCTGTTAAAATCGTCCAACAGGTATTTTGCCTGGGTGGGGTTGAGCTGGTGTAACTATTTTTAAACTTGCATCTGACGAAGTGGGTCTTTGCCCACGAAAGCTTATGCTCCAACACTTCGGTTAGTCTAGAAGGTGCCACAGGACTCCTCGCCGCTTTTGCAGCTTCAGACTAACACGGCGACCCCTCTGCTATTTTTAAACTTGGCTCCGTCTTTTTAGACAAGGGGTGAATGCTTCATTAAGAACAGTCTGTACAGATATTAAGAACAACAAGAAGTCCTGTGGCACCTTATAGACTCACAGATGTATCGGAGCATAAGCTTTCGTGGGCAAAGACCCACTTTGTCAGATGCATGACAGATATTACTGGTCCATGGGAGATGGCTTGCTTTGCCAATTGCGTCTTGGCGCATTTGCAAGCCGTCTCAACTGACATGCTTTTTATTAAGGGGGTTAACAAAGAGAACAAACAATATTGTGTGAGCAAGGACAGAGTCCAATTAATTCCCTTTCCCTCCGTCCCCCCGTGGTCGGAGAGCGGTGGTAGCATCCAGTCCTCCCCCAGAAATCAGGTTGGGCCCAGACATATCGGCGAGAACTCTACAGACATTCCATGGAGGTGTAAAAACGACCCTGTTGCTGCTTTCAAACTCACCCTGTAAAAATGCGGAGGAGGGACCGGGGGAGAGTCCTTATTTGGCAAAGATTTATAAATAACTCTGAAATGAATAGACACAATCTGCTAAGGAAAGCTAAGGGGGAGGTGGGGCAGCATTCCCCAGTCTCTCGCGGCTTTGGGACTGTCTTTAGACACGTTGGGTTTCTCTCTGGAGGCTGCATAGATTCAGAGAGAGCCAGGGCTATTCACCAAGGATTCCGCTCAAAAAGAGGGATCGGCCGGTGAAGATAAGACACCTGGAACTATCGACGCAGGTCAGCACGTGTGGCATCCGCGGCGCAGATGCGGGTACAGGGCGCCCCCCATAAGGCACCCGGTGTACATCCGTTCCGCACTAAAGTCGTTGACGCGTGTAGGAAGTGATGCGCTGTACGTCCTCCCGTTCCCCGCTCTGAGGTTGCACACAAATTTTTGCGCAAATGGAAGTCAGCCGCAGGGGGAAAAATTCCCACTTTCAGTTTTGCTAGTGTGAGTGCCGACCAACTCCTTGGCCCCGTACAGCACACAAAGGGAGTCCCTGCCCGCACCTCCTTGCACAATGACGCTCGCTTCCTATAAAGTTCCCTCCAGCCTTTTAACGCAGGACCCTAGATACTGTGTAATTGACGAGCTGTGTAGCTGCATGAAAACTTAGCGGTTACATGACTATGCCATAGTCCCTAGGGGCAGGGCTGGCAGCCAGTGCACTCCCAGCCCCCCTCCCGAGGGCCCCCTGCCGCTCTGTGCTGCTGCCCTTTGCATCAGGGGCTGCAGCATGGGGTGGCAGCAGCCCCTGGCTGGGGC